TTTAATATTATGTATACTGTAGCCAGCCCCTCTGAACACACAATGACTAATCTAAATGATGTATTTTGATAAAGAAGACTATTCCATGGAATTTGAGAAAAATTCCTACTTGATATGTTTGGTACTCGATCCATTCACTATTTGATTGTTTAATTACAAAGCCTAGCCCTATGCAAATTCATCCCCCTTCTAGGCCACATTGAAGAGTTGTCTGGTTTTCCCAAAGGCTTTTTTGATATCCTGCAGGCCTTAAGCAGCTGTGTGGAGGAGTGGCTCCGGACCCCTGACTAGAATGTTGTAAGCACAAATCTTGGGTGGAGTGCTACTGAAGTACATTTGATCAAGATGCTTCATTTAAACTGCTCTATTTCCTGTTATGCAAGTGGCTATTCACCAGATTGTCATTTTAAATGTGAATTTGCTCTTAGTTATCTGAATAAAGGATTACAGTTAATAAAGGAAAAGAGTAAACTGGCAGTTTTTTTCTGTATCACCCTCAGACAGAATCTGAAGATTGAGGTTGTGTATTTATGACAGGGCTGCTTTTTTAATATACAGAACAATGTGCCATAAATCTCCCTCTAAATCGAAAGCCTGGTTTAAACATGTAAGTAATACAATAAGAGACATTCAATATAAAACTTCAATATTTTTCTGGGTCAGATATACTGTTGATAAGCTAAGAATCTTTTAGTTTCTGAGACTAAGATAATACAGTTCTGTATTTACTGTAAGATATGACCCAAACTGATATTCAGGTGATATTGATTAAATAAAGTACTTGAGAGTAAAAAGTAATTCAACATTATTATAGACAAATGATAAACTTCTTTACAGTGTCACTGTAGTGTACAGCACAGTGATAGACACAGTGATGTTTTTCGTATTTTCAAATGCATGTTTGTGAGAGGGGGATATGACCTCCTTCTCTCTCAGAGCTAGATGTGTACTCTCAGCTTCCTTGCCAGCACTGGTCTGGGAGCTTCTGTGTTTGAGTTTGTGCTGGGGAGGTGGGGAGTTTAAGCTTATGTGTGGTTGTGTTTTTATAAACACGCTTGTGCGTGTTTGTGGTTGTGTGCATCAGGGATGCCAGACAAATTTTTAATTCCTGATAGAGCAAAAGTGCCAAGGGATATAATTCCTGAAACCTTTGAGCTCAAAATGCAACAGACCAAAACCATTGTTCTCTTAATTAAATTAAATCATTTGTTTCCATATCCAATCCCTTTTTTCTATAAGAAGTCTATAACAAAACCATACTGTTATGGTAAATTTAAATGTAAGACAAACTCATTTAATTCATTTTAGTTTAAAAAAATGTTGTCTCTACATAAGCCAACATTACATTTTAAGCTTGCTACCATAATTGGCAAATTGAGTTAAACTGAGATAATAATATCTTCTGGCTGACACAATTGCAATGCAAAAAGATAATCATAAAACTTGCAAAAGAACATTTCGGTTCCTGTATTTCGATATTCAGTTCCTGTAACAAGTTATACCAGATATTTTCATTCCACTAATTCCTATGTAGTATTAATAGAATTTGCAAAGGAACCACTTGTAGCTGACATTGTAGATTTAGTATTCTTTTCCTGAACAGAAAGGAAAAAAAAAACATTTTATATTAAAAATATTACAGAAAGGAAATCATTGCAGTTATTTTTATTTTGAAGCTCAGGTAAAATGTTGGCTCAAAAAGACTCACATCTCACTTTTTTCCCAAAATAAAAAGGATACAAAGAGAAACTTCAAAGTCGCCCAACATTTTGCCCAGAAACAATTCATCTCTGAACTGACATGCATGAAAAACAAAGAAAGTATCCCCTTCTTTTTTAAAAACCCTAATCCTTTCCGCATGCCTGTCACGCACACCTTCAAACAACATGTAATTAACCTGTCATTTTCTGTTCGAGGTCTTTGTGTGTTTGGTTCCTGATGTTGTTGAGCACTTGCATGGAAGAAGCCGCTATGAGTGGCTGCTTGTGCCCCCAGCTTCACAGGCAGGTGAAAAGTGCTTTTGTGATCTTATTTTAAGGTCTCCTAGCCAAGGTGAAGATGTACCTGTTTGCTCTCATGAACACCTTGAGTGCACCTTTTGTGTGTTTTGTTTCACCGCGGAAAACCATGGACTAAGCGCAATACTAAACCCCAAACGGACGCTGTGTGTGACATAGCATGTTTGTCTGTTGCTTGTTTTTTTAACACTGTGGTAACCACGGCTTCACAGGACAAGCCCTTGCAGAGCAACCCGAGCAGACAATAAATCCCGCTCCCTGATCCCTCCTTTCCAGATGCTAAACCCTGGGGCACCTATCTTGCATGCTGGCCCTCCCCCAAGTCTGTAGCTTTTGTGCTACGAACATGCACAGGGCACCCTAATTACAGACAGAGGAGACAAGATTACAGAGACTGCACTGCCGAGTTGGGGGGTTCCAACAGGTTGTTAACGATGATTAACGCCAGCAGGCTCCGTTGCTTATTGTTCCAAGGAATCGCATTCCTCCAACTCCACTTCCCAGGCTTTCTAACATTCCAAAGAGGGGTCATGTCCCAGAACACTTCACTCGTCTTTAACCTTCAATTTTCTTTCAGCGCCTTGAAGATCCCTCATGTTACATTGAGCTCTACAAACGAGGCTACCTTACTAAAACTGGGTGAAGTTCTCTATTAAGCACTGACCAATGCTGTAAACGGCCTCACCCACAGAACTATACTGGTATTCAATGATACCTTCCTCCTGGAAAGGATGCCTTTGAAAGATGAATTACCAACTGAATGTGATGAGGCAGATTGTGTCACAGCGTAATGTGCATAATGGCTATTGCCTAATTCTCGCAATTGCTTTTTAATTAAGTAAACCTGTAACCTGTCACTACTGACATCCCTTGAGGCAGTGTGGTGCAGAAGGAAAACCAAGTCAAGCAAGAAGATCTTCCCAGTCTCATCCCGACAATCCCTACTCGCTGGATGGCGGTGCAATGATACAATAGGAATGGCCACCCTGACACTTTGCAATCCAGTATCCCACAAATCTTCTTTATAGCATATGCCTGCTTTATTTAGTAAGGCTAAAAAAAACAGCCATCTAATCCCCGGTGAGAGAGGAAACATCTGGGGTAATGTATAGCCTAGGGGCAGCAGTCTTTACATTAAATGCTCTCGTTAAGGCTATTAAAAAATAGACATTAACAAGCCATTCTGAGCACTTCAGTGCAAGTATAAAGGCAAATGTCCTCATGAGAATAGAAGCTTTTTATCAGTAGTAAAGCTAAATGAAGTAGAAGCATAACAGTATAAACTTCAGGAAAGCTGCATGAGGAAGTCATTCCAATCTGAAATAAAATTGCCCAATTCCCATTCCTGCCATTCCAGAATGCTCATATTGCTTCGCTATTGAAAAGAAAATACCTGACAGCTCAGCTACACGCAGCTACAGTGTGATAATGTCAAGGTAAGTCACACAAGAAATAATTCGCACAGTGACTCACTTAACATGAACATACAGTATGTAACCTTTACTGCCAAACATAATCCCCATCACTCATATACTGTACACTCCCTTACATATACCATTAATAAAATTATGTCCTAACCCTTGCAGTAAAGCTAATAGATTATTTCCCTTAACTGGAACTGCATTGCATTCACATTCCTGCAAATGTGAGATCTGCACAACAAACTAAATGTATTTATTAAAAGAAGCAAACGACAACCTTAACTTCAAGAGAAAGCACCGATACAAAGAGAATCACTTAGAATGTAACTGCTAAATCCATGCCTGTTGAACCACAGTAAACTATTTTAGGGGGTGTTGCTGCACAGGGCTGGGTCAGGGCTTTCTCTCTCACCTGTCAAAGAAGCAGATAATCACTTGAGAGAAAGCTCTGGTGTTCAGACTGACTGAACAACCTGAGCTGAAATTATAAGGAGTTGGATAAATAGTTGATTCTGACTTTCCATCAAAGAACCAGTTCTTACTTAAAAATGCAGAACAAGGCTATTCTCTCAGCAAGATGGAGAAGTAAAATAACAAATCAAGCCCTTCCAGCAACCTATGAAGAAATAAACCATGTAGATAAGAGATATGGTGAATATCTCCTGCTTTCACCAGAGAATGTATTCATAAACTGGATATGTGGAATGGTAAAAGACAAGACCAAAATAAATTTGGACAACTAAGGTGCCTCAATAAAGCACAAATTAATAGGTAGTCAACTGCCAACTGGTTATCCTAATTTCCTGTACTCTTGCTAATTATAATCCTTTAAAAAAGCATCAACAGCAAATGACCGATCTTCAGGTAAAGATCTCACCACTTGTTGCACAAAACAAAAAACTTTATTTCATGTACAGGGATGTTTCATACATAAACAGACAGGCTTGGCTTCCAAGCCAGCATAATTTTTCACAAAAACAGGAGTGCAGAAAGGTCACATCTTTCCCCTGGCCTTGAAGTACAGAGTGATCGCATGTGCAGATGCAAAAATCAACAACAAACAGTCAGAAAAAAATTGAAGCAATCCCTCAGTCCACCTCTTATTTCTAGGTGCTATGAAAGTAGAGATTAGAAAGCACGCTATTTGGTCTCTTGTATAAAGGCTGCATGAATCTGTCACCCATTATCATAGGGGTTTGACTTTCCTACTGCACACTAACAACACGGCAGTGTTGGAGGGTTCAGCAAGGCAGATGCATGCAGATTTAAGATTTAATAGGGTCATCTTTTTCCGCAATTAGACCAAATTTGCAATATTTGCAACAATTGGTGAATGGAAGACTTTATAGTGTTCATTCTTTAAGAGGAAAATAAATAGTAACCATAAAACACCTGGAAGCTATGCACGAAAATTGCTTTTTATGTAAGAACATCATATTTTGACAAAATTGCAGTTAAACGAAGATAATCCTGGACACCAGCAGACCTTCAACCTCTACTTCCAGAGCACCACAGTTCGGGGAGTGCTAAGGGAGAGAAAGGGGAAGACAGCTTTACTCACAGCCGGGAGATAGCTGCATTCTTCTGGAACAGCATCTCCGGGAGCTGGTGGAGCTGATTACGGTTTAGTCGACTGAGGGAAGAGGAGGGAAAAAGCGAAGGGTGAGTTACTCTCAGTGATTCACGTGGTGTGATGCAGGTGTTGTCGTCTGTGTGGACTGGAAAATCTACATGACATTGGAACAAGGCCCTGCCTCAGCAGATGTGGTCTGGTTTGAATAATCAAAGGTCTGTATAGATCATTACACGGAAGACATTTGCATCTTTCAGATTTGGACAGAAAAGACACTGGAAAAACTTTAACTTTTTTGAGCAATGGCCATTTTAACATTGTTGAGGATAAGCTGAATTGAATAGATCAGATATTTTCATTCTAAGGCAGTGGCAATGCAGGCCTTATGAGCTTGCTTCAGAACTAGTTCACCTGAAGCAATAAGCAACTGGACTCCTTCATACAGTATAAACCCTGGATGTTAATTTGCATGATTAAAATTCCAGGGTGGCACATAAATGGTAATCAACCATGATTACCATACAAATAAGCATCTTCAATTTATGCAGAATTTCAATCCATTTTAAAGCTATACAAAAACCTGAGTGACTATTGGCACTTGTTAGCAACAAACCTAAACATTTGCTGACATGTCTGCTTAAGAATAGAAGACAACAACAAAAAAAAATCTAAATGCATGGAGCTGAAGTACCTTGTGTACAACTGTGCCTGCCTTAAGGATTAGGAGATATCTCAGTTTCAGTGAGGTTTAGGAAATATTTTACATCAGGGCTATCATACAATATTTTACTTTACATCAGGGCTATCAGAAATCTTAGCATTCAAGTGAAAGTAAGGATTAGGGTTTGAGGAGAGATTTTAGGATTACAGTGAAGTTTAGAATTAGGTCTAAGAGAGATATCTAAGAGTTACGATGAGGGTTAGGGAAAATTTTAGGATTACAGTGAGGATTAAAAGAAAATATAGGCTTACAGTGAATATGAGGGATAGGAAGTGAAGATTTGACAAGATCCTCAGATATTGTTGGAGATGAAACAGTTTATGAGGTTTTTAACAACAAAAGCCGAAGCACTTACAGTCTCTCAAGCTCCTTCATGTCATCAAATGCCCCTCGCTCGATTGTTCCAATCTGGTTTTCCATCAACTGTCTGCAGAGACAAAAGTGAGACGAAACTGACTTTGAGGAGTGACAGGACAGAAAAGCCTGTTAGAGATGAGTGCAGTAGAGTGTTGCATGTTGCCTGTTCAGAAGTGGTACCAACTGGTTTCACAAACATAAACAAACACAAAGGGCTTTTAAATCATCTGGATTGTTTTAATTGTTTATTGTTTATTCTTACAGATGGAAACCCTTCATCTATTTCCTCTAGGAAATGTCTTATATTTTTGGGGTTTTTCTTTCTAGGTTTCACTCATTCAGATTTTTCTTAACTCCCCTAATTGGGTACTGGAGTATTCTTCTCAAAACACATCATGTTACCCCATCAATATACCCACTTCATTTATCACTTCACACAATCAGCACAGATCTTCCACTCCTTTTGCATCTTCTGCAAGTGCACTCCCTGTCTTCACAAACACCCCTTCAATCTTTCATCTCTAACTGTACTGGCTGATCCTGTTTGGCCAGGGACATCTCTACATCTTCATCCGTCACCACTTGTGCCCCTGAGACAGCAGCTATCCATTTGTCATTCTCTCTTTCATGTCTCATGAACGGACCTCCAAGTACAGACCACCTGCCCAGCATTTGTGATGCCCATCAGTATAGCCAGGCCTGCTATGTGGCCTGGTGTTGCCAAGAGAGAAGGTGCTTCAGTGATCATAACATGTGGACTTGAAAGATTCAGTAGCTTTCGGAAGAGCGTGGCCAAAGGGTCTGGGCTGAGAGAATGAGGAGCAGTGTCGTCAGGAGATTTTGGGCAAAGGGATGCGGATGCAGTGTGGGCTGGTGGTCAGGGCTGTAAACATCAAAAAGGAAACTGGCTGTACGAACACATTTGTTACAGGGTGTGCCAAAATAAGCACACAGAAAAGGTGGGTTGGATGCATTTTAATAATAAGTGTCAGACATATTAACAAGCTTTGAACAGACAAGAAGGTTACTTCGTCAAGGGATAAATACAAATATTGTTACATTCCATTCCAGATATCAAGCCGAATGAATTTAGTTATATCCCAGACACGCATCAAACATTAAAAACAACTCCCTGTGATAGACTCTTGATCTTTTTACAGTTTCACACACATTAATAGTGTGTTTCAAAATATGTACCGACAGCAAAAGTCTGCTTTACTTTAGAATTTCTTAAATTAACATGTTCAAACACCGTAACATTTCCCCAAAGGTACCAATGAAAGTAACACGTCAAAAAGTACAGATGGGCGACAGTGAACCTTTTCAGTTTTCTTTTTGAGGGTGGGAATGGGAAGTTAGCGTAAAACAAAATTCTTTATAGAGATGTGGGGAAGGTTTGTGTTCTGCATTGAGGGCTGCAGGTCTGTAGTGTAAACACAGGGCCACAGGCTTTGGCACTCCTCCTTCGAGGGCTTTTGCTCAGAAGTGGAAGTTTAGGCCCCCATTAGCCTGGGAGCTGCTGACGTCCAGAGGTCAGTAACACAAGAGCCGGGTGCACTGCACTCTTCCTGGCTGTGTTTTACCTCAGCGTTAATCATGTTAACAGCCTCGCTGTAACCTTAGTGGCCAGGGAGGGCTGAGTATTCCTTGGAGAGTCAGGGTTTTACAACCAGATAAACCTTGAGAACGCTCAGAGGTTGTTGTAAGGGATTGTTTCCGGCTTTCCTGTGACAAGACAACAACCAACCTGAATTTATGACCCTGGGCTACGAGGCCCACGGGTATGATGGTCACAGCGGTGCTGTCAAGCTGTGCTTGTTGAATAAAAAGACATCAACTTTCCTTACATTAGAGATGTGACATATGCACAATGTACAAACCAGACACTGCACATGATGGATCTGTGCATGATGCCATACAGAAACCTGCTTATACTCTAAGCAATGATGAACGGTGAGGATAATGAGACCATTCTCATTTAAGAGTCCTTATTTCAACAGGCTGTGGGTCGGTGCATAATAATATATCCTGTCCTCTTGGGATTTTCATTAATTTAAACTACAGGGATCATAAGAGCTGCAATTAAACTAGGGGAGAGTACTTTTAAGCATTTCTTTACATTCGTTGATTTTCTGAATGATAATATATTTGTGGTGTGATAACCTTTCTTATAAGTGCATTGTATTGCAGCAGACAGCACTGCGAAGTGCTGTGCATTAATGTGATATACTGTATTTTTCAGCACTTCTGATGGGATGAAATAACAGCCAAAAAAAGTTCTAATGGATTTTAGTGTAGACCCCCCTCTGTTTGCTGTTAATAGCCCATGCAATTCAACCCCATGTTTCCCATGGTGCACTTACTGTATAAAGTGGTCAAGTGACTACTGAATCACTTCCTATTTATATTGCATACGCACACAAACTCACACAGCCATTACATATTTATAAATATAAACAAATAAATAAAAAAGAAATTACTTACAGGACTCTGAGGTACTTTAGCCCAGAAAAGTCATTCTTATTGATGCGAGTGATGTTATTTCCATTCAGCTCCCTGTAAAAGAAGACATTAAATATTTAACAATCACACTCTCTCTCTGGGCTCATACAATACTTCCAGTCAGGCTGCAAGAGGAATGCAATATTTCTGCCTATTGATACCTGGTGTCACTGATTTCTGCTCTCTGCTGGCTGTGTGCCAGGATTTTTATGAGAAACATAAATTGGGACTCTCATATGAAGGGTAATGCCACAGTACTGTACGTCTGGCCACCCTCTGCACTGCAAGGAACAACCGTATGAGCAGCACAAACAGAGCCAACAAATATTCACTAGCAGAGCAATTGAAATGTCTTCTACCAAAAAAAAAAACAGTTAGCAAATGCAAATTGTATTACCTAAGCCCTTCTCTGACAGCATGTCTCAGTTTATTTGGCCTGACAGAGGTCCCTGGTCAGGGCAAAATTATTTCCTTGGGACATTTTAGGACTTTTCTCACCTCAGGGCTAATAAATGTTCACAGCATTTAATTGCTCCGTCATGACTCAATATTCCTCAGGCTAACGCTACACGTGGATTCTGTGCAGAATTCTGACAAACACAGCTCCGTGTCTTCGAAGGAGTGAGCACACAGGACAACACTGGCTTCTGTTCCTAGTTTGTCTGACTCAGCCTCAGTGACAGCCTGGCCTCCTTTCCGACACAGCAACATAAGGAAAACAGAGATCTGCATCGTCTTTACTTTATTTCTAATACTACAAAATACAAAAAGGAGTGGAAACAGAGATGCTGAAGTGCAAAAAGGTAGCAGGCAGCAATTTTGCAAAATGCAGAATTTACTGTACATCCTGTTACAATAATTCATGTGTTACCAAGCACTAAGTGGAATGTTTGCTCAGTGGATTCTCACTCAGTTCTCTGTGGAGGTACCATAGCCTGTTTGCACATTTAGTTGTGATGCCAGCGCCAGTCACCCAAAGGGCATTTGTTTAACTCAATCTGGTTTGTGCTAATAGGACTTAAGCCACATGAACCTTCCAGAGAGCGAGATGGTGAGAAACTGAGTGAGTTCGCAGTGGGCAGCAGCTGCCTGGATGAGAAAGAAGGTGTTTGGCAGATTGTCTGGCAAAGGAAGAGACACCCAGTCAAGAGGCTGCAGACTCTCTCCCTTTGCTTTGGTCACACACCCCCTCCAACACACACACCTAGCGCCCACACCAAAGTGCTTTTTCAGCTCACCATTTTCGATCAGCATCTACCATTTCCCCTCCCGCAAGACATTCCCTGCTAAAATGCAGAGTTCCGAAAGCGCGGCTGGGAGCTACGTTCCAGCAATTTTCTCTGTACGCTCAAACTCACTTATAATGACCACTCCTGGGACCATCTGAAAGTGGTCATTACAGACAGATGGCCGATATACACAGGTGCGTTAACGGCAGGAAAATAAATAATACACCAGGATTCATTAGTGGAGGCTGATACACATGTGGCATTTAATACAGGTGGTTAATCGGCACAGAACATGAGTTCCAAAGGGCAGATCTACAGGGTGGCCTGTGCTGATCACACCATGGGGACCACAAGGACATAATAAACTTGAAAATATTTTTTTAAATCAGTAACATGCCCGGTGCATGAAATTTCATAACTGCATGTTGAAAATATTTGTTGTTTGAATAGTTTTAACATTTGGCAAGTTAAACTTCTAATATGCGCTGGCTGTTCACGTCAATACAAAAGGCAGCTGTTTTTCTCTTTTTTCTTATTAACTGTAATTGTGCTTATGAGAAGTTAAATACAGTTATAATAAGGCATAGCTCTTTGCAAAACAACAACTGAGAGCAACTGTGGTCTTCTAGTGCAGTAGTCCTCCTGGATTTGTAGCTGAATTTAAAGCACCATTCTTACAAATCAGGGCACAAAGCCTAATTTGTTTAGTTTAGTGGGCAACTCATGCAGAGAAATATTTGACAACTCAAGAGGAACAAAAAACAGAAACACTGTCAATCTTCAAAGAACAGGCTCATCGTTTATTAAAAAAAAATGACAGCTCCAGCACATTTTTTCCTTGTATGTTACCAAAGACCTTTATACTTTAATCCACATCACCAACATCTCTTCTTCTGAGACATAACAAATCAGTCTCCACAATTCTTGCAAAGATGTAAGCTCATCGTGTCATAATTTTTACTGTCATACATATTTTAAATGGTAGCTCCCCTTTTGAGATGATCTCCACACTGCATTATGAAGATTTCATTCCACAATCAGCATTCAGAGAAGCATTACATTTATCAACAGTTTCTCCTGGTTAGGAATGCTGAGCACATCTGGATTTGACATTGACTTTTTCAATTCTACTCTCTTGTCTTCATTTTGGTATGAGGGAGAGCAACGTAAATCAGGCGTTGCACATTTGGTAAATCAAATCATGACATGCTGAATTGATACATGTATTTGTTTTAATCCCTCACCGTATTTCAATTGGAAATCTTGAGCCAACGCTTTGAACTGCAACAAGTGAGAAAATGTGTTTGAACTCCAGCCAAGCCTGGAATACACTTTAATAGTAAGACTTAAAATATTCCAAATAGCCTGTACAGTACATACAGTACATTCACAGAAAACATAGGCACTGCACAGGTGTGATATGCATCAGCTGTCTAGCTGTCACAGATGCTGCTAGAAAATGTACAAGCACATTGCTGGCCTTCAAAGATTTTATCTGTCAAAGAAACCCGCGAATGACAGTTTGAGCTGAGTAAGGGGCTGTAACATGCTCACTCCCCATCCTGATTGTGGCAAAAACTGCCTGATGAAAATGCTGAGAATCTAATTCTGTTTCGTTCTGCCATCTGTTGGAAATCTCAAAGCAAAAGAAGAAACCAGACCTGTTCTGAATTGTTACATGAAATGCAATTTGAGACCAGAGGAGGAAAAAAAAAAACAAACCGTGCAAAAAAACGACTCCATGCGACCGTGTCCAGAAAGCCTGTTGTATCTGGGTTATTTCCAAGCTCAATATTCTGTCTGCCGCAGAGACGTTTGTTAAGAACAGCTTTAGGCTGGCAGGGGCAGAGGAAAGAGGATGATATGGGTCAGTGTGCTTTTGTGTACCAAGCACCTTGCCGGGGAAACAAACTGGCTTTGAAGAAAAGTCTTTTTGTCTTTGCTTGTTGCTGAGGCTTGCACCTTACATTTTCAGCTTTCTTCTGAGTACTGACTGTTCAGTTTTCTGTATGTTTTTTTTAATCAGTATCGATGTTTCTTCAGTGCTTCTGGATTTTAAACAACTTTGCTCTTTGCGTTCCACAGTATATGAGAAGGCTTCAATAGGGGCTTTTTCTGGCTAAGTATAAACTGAGTAGTCATAATTAAAAGGGTGACAGGAGAAAGAGAACCTAGTAAAATGTTAGCTAGCAACCAAAGCTGCTGTTTTTGTATATTATGATTCATCGTGTAGTGTATCTTAATATACCATCTCCTGGTCTGAAAAAAATGAACGAGTATTTAAACCAATACACCCTCTATAGAAGCAAGGTTGATAAAAATCCCATCACTGCAAAGTTGTGAGGAAACACCAGCTGCAGAGTTTTGATCTTTAAGTCTGCTTTCCTTATGTTAAATTGCTATGCAGACCTTTGCAAGGATCATCTGCTCTACGTCTGAAGGAATTCTCGAAACAGAAGACAATAACGGGCTAACAAGAGAGGTTATGTGTGGGAACGCAGAACAACAGCACTCTCGATAAAAAGTACATTCTGGAATTCACTTCCAACAGATTATCAAAGGTTAAGTGTCTTCAAACTCTTTTGCAACAAACTCAAGATTTGTTTCAAACTAAATCAGCTGTGTAATTATTATGTTACTGAGGGTGTACTAAAAACGCAATTGCATAAGGTCAGAGTTGTCACAAACCCCCAGAAGGCTTAAGGGAACCCCAAAACACTGATGTGGATTCCTTCAATGATGGAGCTATTGAAGTGTGAGCTTTCTGTGGTTGGTTCAGATATGCCGACTTCTGCAGGAACCAATCGGAAAATGTGTGCTGTAGCATATAGAGCAGAGCAAATGAGCTGTGCATAGTGTATGATGCAGGCAATGGAAGTTGGCGAACAGATGGCAGTACAACCACCCAACCCTGGACCGCTGGTGCCTGTGACTCCGTGGTGGACAGAAAAAGACACTGCACTGACCCCTGAAGGAGCTGAACAGTGCTGATGAGAAAATTGTGCACGAACCAGTCGTGTGGGATCGTGTTGATGATTTCTGAATGGATGAGGACGGATTTCAAGCAGAACCCCCAAAAGAAGAGTCAAGGGCCACCACCACACAAGATGGAATCCAGCAGAGGTTCGGGGGGTTAAGGGAGGAGGAAGTCCATCTCCATGGTAGAGCAGGGTGCGATCAGGGACAGCAAGGCCTGAGAATAAGGAGCCCTGACCCAGTGCAGACAGACACCGTGTGCCCGGGGGCAGAGTGGACATCAGCAACTGGGCCGCTTCTAAGGGGACAGCGGAAAAAAAAGAAGACAAAACCATGAAGAAAAGCTGCAGCTGTAACTGCACTGGATTGGACGCTCAACCAGAAATGACTGGGGGGAGAGTGGAATGAGAGGAGATGGTGAAAAGAGAGGGGATGGAGAGGCTGTGGTTGTTCCGGGGTTCCAGGGAGGATTGACAACATCAGAGGAGCTGGGAAAAAGAGGAGACAGCATGGCAGGAGCAGCAGGACAGCATGTCTTCTGTGGAGGGGTTAAGGTTGAAAAACTGCATGGCTGAGAAGAGGCAAGAGAAAGGTCAGCAAGAGTGAGAAGATGATGAGGTACAGTCGGTCCAGCAGTACCATGTGCACAGGACATCAGCTGCCCATCCACGACGAGACCAAAAGAGAGTTGTGGAACCTCTGCTTAACAATACCATGTATGGGAATAAATTATCTTTATACGACCATACACTCTTTTTGCAGAGAATAAGAGTACATTGCATTCTTGTATGTGTGTCTTAAGTATTGAATTGCCACTGCTAATCACAGATATGACTGGAACTGACAGGT